GAAGTACAATAATGTCAGGTTCATGCACTTGAACTATATGATACCCCCTTTTTTTAAATACTCAGTCAGTTGGACAACCTGTCAACCGTGCGAGGCAATTGTAATAACCAAGGTCATCCCAGTCGGCGAGCAGGTATATAAGGCTGCGGGAAGTATCTCGCTGCACAATCTCCCAGCATGAGGTTCCTTGTGAGTACAGAAAACTAAATTGAAATCGTCACAGTACCAATTACTATAAAGATATTAATGAGGAAATTATACTCGCAGAAGTATTATATTTTAGAGAATGCATTACTTATCGTAATTATATTAACTAATTTGTATTAAATACAATATTCTGCCATATCCATCACCCGTAATACCTTTTCTGTGGTTTATTATTTTATAGGTTTTGGCTTGCGCACTCGTCGCTTCCACGACTGCAGCTCCCCAGGGTTACAGTCTGCAGAGACCCACTGGATCAACTCTGCCCACTGGTCCTGGTCAGACAGCAGGAAGTGGACATTCAGTCGGATCCGGTGCTGGGCATGGTGTAGCAGGTGGCATTGTCATAGGATCTGGGCATGGAGTTGGAAGTGGAGTTTCAGCTGGTGCAGGTCTAGGAGGTCTTTCTGTAGGATCTGGCCAAGGAGTAGGAACTGGCATCTCCGGCGGTGCTGGAATTTTGGAACCATGTGGGGAAGGACAAATTCGTCATGTTGATGGGTCCTGTGTTACACCAGTCGTGAACAGAAAAGTATTTGTTTTCGATGTTCCTGAACAAAAAGAACCTATCGGTCCACCACCAAGTGTTCCTCCTCCAAGAGTTGATCATAACATTCTCTTCGTGCGACTTCCCGAAGAAGGAGAAGGACCTGAACCCATCGTTATTCCCCCACCAAGACAGGAGAACATCGTCTATGTACTCAACAAGAAGGACGAACAGGCTCAGCGTGTCATCGAAGTACCAGCCCATCCTCCATCTGATCCCGAAATCTACTTCGTCAATTATGAAGAGGGTGAGAACCCAACTCTACCCATTGGTGTGGATCTCAATACTGCTCTTGGTTCAGCGGCTGAAGCCGGTGGACAGGTAATTGGATCTAACGGCGCTGGATTAGGCGGTAATGTTGGAGGAGTTGGTGGAGTAGTAGGAGGCAGTGGATTTGGAACAGTTAGCGGAGGATTAGGTGGAGCTGGTGCAGGCAGTGGTTTTGGAACTGTTAGCGGAGGATTAGGAGGAGCTGGTGCAGGCAGTGGATTTGGAACTGTTAGCGGAGGATTAGGTGGAGCTGGTGCAGGCAGTGGCTTTGGAACTGTTAGCGGAGGATTAGGTGGAGCTGGTGCAGGCAGTGGCTTTGGAACTGTTAGCGGAGGATTGGGTGGAGCTGGTGCAGGCAGTGGATTTGGAGCAGTAAGCGGAGGTGTAGGAAGCTCTCCTTCTGGATTATATACCACTCCCTAAATGAACTGCATCGCCGATTGTATTTAAATTATGAACAAAGAAGACAAAATAAAAGTATACTCTATTTCTTAATATATGATAAATTTCTACACAGTCGTTTAATACCCCTACTTCTCGAAAAAAGCAACATAGTAAGATATACAATATGCATGCATATAATGAAGACACGTGCACACAAACCTTAATATATGCATACACACACGAAAACATACGAACTAACACACACGTAAACATACGAACGAGCACACAAATTAAACATCCGAACGGACACAAACACACACAAACACTGACACAAGCACACAAACACACACATACACATATATATGTATGTATATAAGTATTATATGTATATGACCAAATGATTGTTGTCAAATACAGAGATATACAGATAGGTATTAGCTATCAATGTGTATGAACTAAATTAAGCATTACTTTTGAATACCTGAATATGAAGCTTTTCATAATAACACACACACACACACACATACACACATACACACACACACACACACACACACACACACACACACACACACACACACACACACACACATATATATATATATATATAATATATATATATATATATATATATACACAATAAAATACTGATGATAGAAAATATCTATAAGCCTGATGATAATGAGGATGATATTAATATTGATAATAATTATTGCCAATGAAAGCTTCCAATGACATTGCCATGGGATCAAATTTGAGGCAAAAAGATGCACAGTGACTTAGTCCACGGTACTCTACTTGTTAGAAATAGCATAACCATTTAATATCGGCACTGGTATGAGATTAAATGTGATTCGTATGTTATTGATGATAAAAAAAGAGAAAAAAACGTGTATATATATTATATATATATATTATATATTATAATATATAATATATATATATATATAATATATATTAATAAATAAATAAATAAATAAATAAATATAATATACATATATATATATATATATATATATATATATATATATATATATATATATATATATATATATATATATAGAGAGAGAGAGAGAGAGAGAGAGAGAGAGAGAGAGAAGAGAGAGAGAGAGATATGTATACACACACAAACACACACATATACATGTGTGTATGTGTGGTCAAGGTATCACGTACTAATTGTTCTATCTAACGTTGGCGATATCGATTCATAAGAGTAAATTAATAGCTATAATCATGCTAATAGTATTAGAAAAATATGTGAAAGAAAAGGGGTACTAATTGGATATGAGAGCGGGGAAAAGAATGTTTGTTTTTTAATAATATGCAGGGCAAACTAGTAAGACTGGTTGAATATTGTTGATATCACTATGTATGCATATATTATATTAGGCTTCATGATATTATAACTATGGTGATAATAGAAGGAATTTTAAGAATAACTTTTGTTATTATAGTTGCATCAATAGTACATTAATTTAACACCAATACCAAAATATAAACAATAATTGTAAAAAAAATAAAAGAAAATGTGGATAATAAGTCTAGTAATAATACCAACTGTGTTGATAATACTGTAAAAAATATATATATATATATGAACCATAGTAACGTAATTGTCGTAAATGCAGTAATGATTTATTGTGATATAAATAATAGTGATAATGATAAAGATATAAATGATAATATTAATAATAAAGACAGTACTATAGTAATGGTGTTAATACTTGTGATGAAAGCAGTATTAGTGTAAGCGATAATGATAATGCTAATGCTAATAATTACAAAACAACAATGAAAATAATATCAATGATTAAATGGTTAATAGTAATATAGTAACAACACTGATTACCTTATCTCGTTGTTTATTTTGATACCATTGTAATTATATATATTTTTTATTGTAACAATAATAAATTGGCTAGGATTGTTGTTAATGTTGGCATTATAAGTATCGTTATCAATATCACTATTGATTTCTATTTTATTTCGAAATTCACTTGCTCGTTAATAATTATTTTAGGCTTTATTATTTGAATTCGGTTATCATTTCGTCCGCACTGAAGTACAGTAATGTTAGGTTCATGCACTTGAACTATATAATACCGTTTTTGAAGGATACTGTGTCAGTTGGACAACCTGTCAACCGTGCGAGGCAATTGTAATACCCAAGGTCATCCCAGTCGGCGAGCAGGTATATAAGGCTGCGGGAAGTATCTCGCCGCACAATCTCCCAGCATGAGGTTCCTTGTGAGTACAGAAAACTAAATTGAAATCGTTACAGTGCCAATTGCTATAAAGAAATTAATGAGGAAATTATACTCGCAGAAGTAGTATATTTTAGTGAATGTATCGCTTATTGAAATTCTATTAAATTATTTGTATTAAATACAATATTCTGTCATATCAATCACACATAATACTTTTTCTGTTCTTTATTTTAGATTTTGGCTTGCGCACTCGTTGCTTCTGCGACTGCAGCTCCCCAGGGTTACAGTCTGCAGAGACCCACTGGATCAACTCTGCCCACTGGTCCTGGTCAGACAGCAGGAAGTGGACTTTCAGTCGGATCCGGTGCTGGGCATGGTGTAGCAGGTGGCATTATCATAGGATCTGGGCATGGAGTTGGAAGTGGAGTTTCAACTGGTGCAGGTCTAGGAGGTCTTTCTGTAGGATCTGGCCAAGGAGTAGGAACTGGCATCTCCGGCGGTGCTGGAATTTTGGAACCATGTGGAGAAGGACAAATTCGTCATGTGGATGGGTCCTGTGTTACACCAGTCGTGAACAGGAAGGTATTCGTCTTCGATGTTCCCGAACAAAAAGGACCCATTGGTCCTCCACCAAGTGTTCCTCCTCCAAGAGTTGATCATAACATTCTCTTCGTGCGACTTCCCGAAGAAGGAGAAGGACCTGAACCCATCGTTATTCCCCCACCAAGACAGGAGAACATCGTCTATGTACTCAACAAGAAGGACGAACAGGCTCAGCGTGTCATCGAAGTACCAGCCCATCCTCCATCTGATCCTGAAATTTACTTCGTCAATTATGAAGAGGGTGAGAACCCAACTCTACCCATTGGTGTGGATCTCAACACTGCTCTTGGTTCCGCTGCTGAAGCCGGTGGACAAGTAATTGGTGTCGCTGGAGGTGATAGCAGTGAAGGCAGTGGATTTGGAGGAGTTGGTGGAGTAGTAGGAGGCAGTGGATTTGGAACAGTTAGCGGAGGATTGGGTGGAGCTGGTGCAGGCAGTGGCTTTGGAACTGTTAGCGGAGGATTAGGTGGAGCTGGTGCAGGCAGTGGATTTGGTGCGGTAAGCGGAGGATTGGGTGGAACTGGTGCAGGCAGTGGCTTTGGAACTGTTAGCGGAGGATTCGGTGGAGCTGGTGCAGGCAGTGGATTTGGAACTGTTAGCGGAGGATTCGGTGGAGCTGGTGCAGGCAGTGGATTTGGAGCAGTAAGCGGAGGTGTAGGAAGCTCTCCTTCTGGATTATATACCACTCCCTAAATGAACTGCATCGCCGATTGTATTTAAATTATGAACAAAGAAGACAAAATAAAAGTATACTCTATTTCTTAATATATGATAAATTTCGACACAGTCGTTTAATACCCCTACTTCTCGAAAAAAACAACATAGTAAGATATACAATATGCATGCATATAATGAAGACACGTGCACACAAACCTTGATATATGCATACACACACGAAAACATACGAACTAACACACACGTAAACATACGAACGAGCACACAATTTAAACATCCGAACGGACACAAATACACACAAACACTGACACAAGCACACAAACACACACATACACATATATATGTATGTATATAAGTATTATATGTATATGACCAAATGGTTGTTGTCAAATACAGAGATATACACATAGGTATTAGCTATCAATGTGTATAAACTAAATTAAACATTACTTTTGAATACCTGAATATGAAGCTTTTCATAATAACACACACACACGCACACACACACACACACACACACACACACACACACACACACACACACACACACACACACACAATTATATATATAATATATATATATATATATATATATATATATATATATATATATATATATATATATATATATATACACACAAAACAAGCACTGATGATAGAATATATCTATAAGCCTGCTGATAATGATGATATTAATATTGATAATAATTATTGCCAATGAAAGCTTCCAATGACATTGCCATGGGATCAAATTTGGGGAAAAAAGATGTCCACGGTACTCTACTTGTTAGAAATAGCATAACCATTTAATATCGGCACTGGTGTGAGATTAAATGTTATTCGTATGTTATTAATGATAAAAAAAGAGATAAGAATTTGTATATTAAAATATATATGTGTACATAAATAAATAAATGAATAAATATAATTATATATATATATATATATATATATATATATATATATATATATATATATATATATATATATATATATAGAGAGAGAGAGAGAGAGAGAGAGAGAGAGAGAGAGAGAGAGAGAGAGAGAGATACATATATGTATACACACACACACACACACATATACATGTGTGTATGTGTGGTCAAGGTATCACGTACTAATTGTTCTATCTAACGTTGGCGATATCGATTCATAAGAGTAAATTAATAGCTATAATCATGCTAATAGTATTAGAAAAATATGTGAAAGGAAAAGGGGTACTAATTGGATATGAGAGCGGGGGAAAAGAATGTTTGTTTTTTAATAATATGCAGGGCAAACTAGTAAGACTGGTTGAATATTGTTGATATCACTATGTATGCATATATTATATTAGGCTTCATGATATTATAACTATGGTGATAATAGAAGGAATTTTAAGAATAACTTTTGTTATTATAGTTGCATCAATAGTACATTAATTTAACACCAATACCAAAATATAAACAATAATTGTAAAAAAAAAAAAGAAAATGTGGATAATAAGTCTAGTAATAATATCAACTGTGTTGATAATACTGTAAAAAAAATATATATATATGAACCATAGTAACGTAATTGTCGTAAATGCAGTAATGATTTATTGTGATATAAATAATAGTGATAATGATAAAGATATAAATGATAATATTAATAATAAAGACAGTACTATAGTAATGGTGTTAATACTTGTGATGAAAGCAGTATTAGTGTAAGCGATAATGATAATGCTAATGCTAATAATTACAAAACAACAATGAAAATAATATCAATGATTAAATGGTTAATAGTAATATAGTAACAACACTGATTACCTTATCTCGTTGTTTATTTTGATACCATTGTAATTATATATATTTTTTTATTGTAACAATAATAAATTGGCTAGGATTGTTGTTAATGTTGGCATTATAAGTATCGTTATCAATATCACTATTGATTTCTATTTTATTTAGAAATTCACTTGCTCGTTAATAATTATTTTAGGCTTTATTATTTGAATTCGGTTATCATTTCGTCCGCACTGAAGTACAGTAATGTTAAGTTCATGCACTTGAACTATATAATACCGTTTTTGAAGGATACTGTGTCAGTTGGACAACCTGTCAACCGTGCGAGGCAATTGTAATACCCAAGGTCATCCCAGTCGGCGAGCAGGTATATAAGGCTGCGGGAAGTATCTCGCCGCACAATCTCCCAGCATGAGGTTCCTTGTGAGTACAGAAAACTAAATTGAAATCGTTACAGTGCCAATTGCTATAAAGAAATTAATGAGGAAATTATACTCGCAGAAGTAGTATATTTTAGTGAATGTATCGCTTATTGAAATTCTATTAAATTATTTGTATTAAATACAATATTCTGTCATATCAATCACACATAATACTTTTTCTGTTCTTTATTTTAGATTTTGGCTTGCGCACTCGTTGCTTCTGCGACTGCAGCTCCCCAGGGTTACAGTCTGCAGAGACCCACTGGATCAACTCTGCCCACTGGTCCTGGTCAGGCAGCAGGAAGTGGACTTTCAGTCGGATCCGGTGCTGGGCATGGTGTAGCAGGTGGCATTGTCATAGGATCTGGTCATGGAGTTGGAAGTGGAGTTTCAGCTGGTGCAGGTCTAGGAGGTCTTTCTGTAGGATCTGGCCAAGGAGTAGGAACTGGCATCTCCGGCGGTGCTGGAATTTTGGAACCATGTGGGGAAGGACAAATTCGTCATGTGGATGGGTCCTGTGTTACACCAGTCGTGAACAGGAAGGTATTCGTCTTCGATGTTCCCGAACAAAAAGGACCCATTGGTCCTCCACCAAGTGTTCCTCCTCCAAGAGTTGATCATAACATTCTCTTCGTGCGACTTCCCGAAGAAGGAGAAGGACCTGAACCCATCGTTATTCCCCCACCAAGACAGGAGAACATTGTCTATGTACTCAATAAGAAGGACGAACAGGCTCAGCGTGTCATCGAAGTACCAGCCCATCCTCCATCTGATCCTGAAATTTACTTCGTCAATTATGAAGAGGGTGAGAACCCAACTCTACCCATTGGTGTGGATCTCAACACTGCTCTTGGTTCCGCTGCTGAAGCTGGTGGACAAGTAATTGGATCGACCGGTGCTGGATTAGGCGGTAATGTTGGAGGTGTTGGTGGAGTAGTAGGAGGCAGTGGATTTGGAACAGTTAGCGGAGGATTAGGTGGAGCTGGTGCAGGCAGTGGCTTTGGATCTGTTAGTGGCGGATTAGGTGGAGTTGGTGCAGGCAGTGGATTTGGTGCGGTAAGCGGAGGATTGGGTGGAGCTGGTGCAGGCAGTGGCTTTGGAACTGTTAGCGGAGGATTCGGTGGAGCTGGTGCAGGCAGTGGATTTGGAGCAGTAAGCGGAGGTGTAGGAAGCTCTCCTTCTGGATTATATACCACTCCCTAAATGGCCTGCACTGTCGCTTATATTTAAAGATGTATTCTATTTCTTAATATATGATATATTTCGATACACTCGTTTAATATCCCCTATCTTCAGGAAAAGGCAACTAAAATTTTCAGTATGCATATATCCCCTATCTCCAGGAAAAGGCAACTGTAAAATTTCATTATGCATATATATAATAAACACGTCCACACAATCCAAACTGTATACATACGTACACGTAAGTATACGAACAACACACATACAGAGAAACACGCTCATATAAACACACACACATATATGTATTTATATATGACCAGATGATTGTAGTCACAAAGAGAGATATACAAATAAATATTAGCTATAAATATGTAGAAACTAAAGAAAGCATTACTTTGGAGTGCCTGAATATAAATAATTTCATAGGTATAACATATCTCACATATGTATATATATATATATATATATATATATATATATATATATATATATATATATATATATATATATATATATATATATATATATATATATATATATATATATATATATATATATATATATATATATATACGTGTATATAGGTAATATATTTAAATAAAGCATTACTTTGGTGTGCCTGAATATAAATAATTTCATACGTATAACATATCTCACACACACACACACACACACACACACACACACACACACACACACATATATATAATATATATATATATATATATATATATATATATATATATATATATATATATATATATATATATATATATATATATATATATATATATATATAGTGTGTGTGTGTGTAAGTGTTTATATATATATATATATATATATATATATATATATATATATATATATATATATATATATATATATATATATATATATATATATATTCACACATATAAATATTAGGCTTTTTCTGTCGTCAAGAAACTGTCATGCTACACTTTCCTATGATCTATATATATAAAATGTAATATTGCATACACACACACACACACACACACACACACACACACACACACACACACACACACATATATATATATATATATATATATATATATATATATATATATATATATATATATATATATATATATATATATATATATATATATATATATATATATATATATATATATATATATATATATATATATATAATATATATATATATATATATATATATATATATATATATATATATATATATATATATGATGTGCATGTATGTCTTTTCTTTTCATTTCCCATTGGTTATGTGGATATGTAATGGAGTATGAAATAAAATATTCTACGTCTATGATTATAAGATTCTAAGAAATATATCTTACAATTCGGCAAAATAGGAAAACATAAACATTTTTACTAGATCGTCATGCGCTAGCAATTGGAATACTACATTGAAAACATACAGTACTAGAAGACAATATGGAGTTTAAGCATTAATATTGATATTTCATATTAATAGGGCCACGGCTAAGAAGAGCGAGGTTCAGGTTTATTTTTCGCATGTGTCCGCTTTTATGGGCTATGTCATGTAAGGCAACAATAGTTACCGTTTCTCTTGTATCATTTCTGCTTAAATCATGGGCATATTCAGACCTCCAAAACCGTTCCATGACGAAGAATATAAGACGAAGTATCTCGTGTTTTATTTACAGAATGTGTTCGAATGGTTAATAAAATATTACGAAAATTTATATTAGGTTCTACATA